ACCTGAGGCTTCCTCACGAAAATGATGAAAATGTAGCTGCGGCCTAGGCGGCGCAGGGGGGCCGTGCACCAGGGGCCCCAACAATAATTATTCTTTAGAATTAATAATGTTCAACAACAACAATCACTTTACCCGAACGCTCAGTGTTCTCACCAGGGCCAGGGTTTTCATGCGACGCCAGCCAATACCCCCACTTTGTGGGGGGGCAGTGCAAGCTCTACCAAATATCCACACGACTCTTCGCCACCACCCACACCCAGCTTCCCGCCCTATGACGTTCGGACACTTCACTTCGTGGCCTGCGGACACACGACCGTGGCTACTTACACTGGCGTTGGAGTACAAAACCCACAGAAGTTGTTAAGCCTACTTGCGATACACCACAGAAAGTGAAAGCCTCTTGTTAACCCACAGAAGTTGTTAAAGGCTTCCACAAGAAAAAAACGAAAGGGATTGTGGACCCTCGAGGGCGCGCGAACCCCGTGCAAGAAAGTGGAAAGTAGCTCGAGCGAAGCTCATGTAACATAAATGTTGGAAAACCATTGGTTTTTTTAGGATTCGGACAGCGCGCGCGGGTAGAAATTTTGAAAAGTCGTGCAGGTGTTTTTCGAGGACCTACGGTGCGATTCGTGTGATTTTATGATGCGCGGTGCTAAAATTCTTAAGAAGCCCAATGGTTTTTGGAGATTTCGGCGTGCGCGCGCGAAGAAAAAACGAATGTGTCCCGCATGGTATTATTTGACAGGGATGATGGCCCTGGCAGGTGCGCAACCGTTGTCGCAGAAGTTCGAAAAAGTTGCTCGCAAAAGCCCGTTTGACAGAAATGTTTAAAAGTGTTGGGTTTCCTACGAATCCGCAAGAGCGCGCGGGATGAGATTTTGACATTTTTTTGTTGAAAAACCATTGGTTTTTTGATGTTTTTATGTTAAAATCGCTGCGAACACTAAGGTTTTGGAAGGATTTCGTCTTGCGCGCGCGAATGTCCACTTTACCTTATTTTTTGCAAGGGATTCTTGAAATTTGATTATATTAGAACAAGAAATGTCATTTTCTATTGTTTTTTGCAAGGGAAAGCGGATTACAACAAAACAACCGGATCCTGTACACACCCTCTTTTCTGAGGCTTCCTCACGAAAATGATGAAAATGTAGCTGCGGCCTAGGCGGCGCAGGGGGGGCGCGCACCAGGGGGCCCAACAATAATTATTCTTTAGAATAAATAATGTTCAACAACAACAACAACCGATCCCCGGCCCCGCTGGCATGGCCTCGGCCCCACGGGGCGGTGGGTCGACCCTCCACCCCGAGACGAAGCCACGACGAGGATGAACTCCCAGACCCCCTCGCGCTGTGTCATTGCACCGACCTTGCAGACGTGCTGCAGCGGATTCTTGCCTGGATTTCTGCCCATGCAAACCCCCGACACGGCGAGCGAAAAACGATGTGAATGTCGCGTGGATTTGTTGTTTCGGTTTTCACTCCTGACCCCAAAAAATCCGCGCGAAATCGAACTCGAAATCCGGAGCGAAATTATCCAGAACACTCCGGGCACATCCGATCGTTTTCCGAACGATCTGCGATGCTGGCGCCATGACCAGCCAAAGACCCCCTCGCGCTGTGGGAAAGTCACGACGAGAAGTTTGTCGCCATTTTCGGGCTCTGGGGGCCCTCGCCGGGCCTCGGGACCGTCAAAAAATGACTCGGTATGAAAAACTGGTCCCGGGGAATGGGTCCGGACCTCTGGGGGTGGCGCATGAAAAAATCATGACGTCGGGGGTCTGGGTTCGGGTGAAGATAAAGCGATAATCTCTGAGATCCGGCGGCTCTGGAGGATGTCTCGGGCGACGCGGCCTTCTCAGAGCGTTCCGGAACGCTCTGAGAGCGTTCCTGAACGCTCTGGGACGAATAATTCATCGTCGTCCTCTCCCCGTCCGACACCCCCAGATCCCCTCGCGTCGTGACAAAACATGGGGAGGGGGTCCGATGTGTATTCAGCCTCTATAGGGGCCCTTTCCGGGCCTCGGGGCCGTCAGAGAACGACTCGGGATGAGAAGCTTGTCCCCGGGGAATGGGTCGAGACCTCCGGGGGACGAGAGCGTGTTGTTTCAAGATTTAGGCAAGTTTACTTGCACAGCGTTCGGCCCGCCCCCCCCTCACCCACCCATCGCCCCTCTTCAAACGAATCACCTGGCATGCAAGTGTCCTTCGACTTGCGTGGTCTCCGCACGTGCAAGTCGCTTGCGGCTTGCTTCTGGTTCAGCCCCCCCGTCCGTGCAAGTAAACTTGCCGGAGTTTAAAGAAAACAGGCTCCGACGCTGAACAAATCATGACGTCCAGTGTCTGGGCCCCCAGGTGGGCGACGACTAGAATTAGGTCGGGCATGTCCCCCTACAGACGGATGTCGGAAGAAAATGCGAAAACCCCAAAAAAAAAAATCAAGAATGACTCGAAACAGTGAGAAATCGTGCCCAGACGATTACTGGACTATTTCTAGATATTCCTCCTGTAGAGGGACATGCCCGACTGAAGACTAGAAGCGCGCCTTACCGAAACCCAGGGCCAGGAACCCAGACACTGAGACCAGAGGACTTCCATTAGTTTCTGGTCTGGGAACGCCACGCTGTCCATATAGCAGAGCCATCGAAACCCAAGAAACCCAGGGCACCCTGGAGGCAAGCAGGGCGTTTCTTGGCACGGGTCTCCACTGTACGCGGGCAGCTCACGCGCCAATGTCGGTGAAGACGACCCCGCTTCTCTGCCTCGCTCGGGTGGGGTGGGGACGTGTGCCGCTCCCTTCGGATCCCCCGGCATCCGTCCCCACCCTGGGGGGGTGTAGGGTGTGGGAGGCCAACGTTGAGGCAGGGGGACTGGCTCAGGGCCTTGGGGGGGGGGGGGGGGGAAGATCGAGCTGGAATCGGCGACGCATCGCCGATCCCTCGGCGGTGGGCTCCCGAGCAGCGAGCCCGCACGGTCCTGGGCGGGGCGGGCCAGGTCGGGCCCTTCCACTGGGCGAGGTGTGGGGGCGACTGTTTGGGGGGTGGGTCGACGCGTCCCGCCCTGGGCCGATCCTTAGGTCGGGCATGTCCTTCGACTGGCGGGCTTTGGACGAAGCATAAGAAGGCTCACCAAATATTAAAACACTGCCAAACAATAATCCACAAATCGTCCTCATACTATGTTTGGACTATTTTTGGATACTCCTTCTGCAGAGGGACATGCCCGACATACGCCGGTGCCTATATGAGGGCGGGGCTGGTGGCCTGCGGAGGGGACTTGTGCTGCTCCCTTGGGGGGGGGGGGTAAGGTTAAGTCGTGCCTGTCCCTCTACAGGGGAAATGTTCAAAAACAATTAACAAATAGTCTGGGGACGATCTTTTGATTATTGTTTGACCATTCTTGAATATTTTCTGACTGTTCTTAATTTTTCGTCCAACGTCCGCCTGCAGGGGGACAGGCCCGACCTGAGGGTAGGGGGGGTAGGCTGGTGATAATAAGGGGCCCAGGGAACACACAAATAAATAGATGCAAATCCCAGGATTCTCAACATCTTCGCATATTTTCTGGGTTCTCATTATCCCCACCACTTCCCATAGTTTCTTTTATGTTCCTGGGAGTCGACGATTAAAATTGTGTCTTTGTGTTTTTTCTCCTTGAGTTGCAGCCACCCCGAATTCACAGAATGCGCGATAGGGATGCAAGGGCCTCGGAAGCCCCTTTCGAGGCTCTTCGAGCGCGGCGCGGCCAGCGAAAGTGGCAAGGCTGGGTCGAGGAGACAGGGATGCAAGGGGTACCCTTGGGAAGGTCACCCATCCTTGCTGTGCGGGTGGACTGTAGATGCTCGTGCAACTCGCTCCACTCGTGCGTCGATGCTGCATCGATCGTCCGTCGACTTGGGTCGAGCTTGAGACGAATTGGAGTCGGACTCAAGGCAAACTAGAATCGAACGGATCCGTCAGGTAGGCCACGTGAGCGTCCCCCCAAAAGAGCATCTAGCTGGCGGAGCCGAGATGCCATGGCGATTGCTGGGTGGTGGATGCCATGGCGACTGCTGGGCTGTAACTCGGGCCTCCGGCGGCCGTTCGGGACGATCCCAGCACCCCGGGAACGCTCTCGACGAGGCGTGGCCGCCGTAGCAACCACCCCGGCCTCGGGAAACTCCCGAAGACGGCCGACAACGCTCGAGAGAACGTTGCCCCTGAGGGTCAGGTCGGCGGGGCCAAGGCTGGAGGGGAAGACAACGGGAGCCATGACCAAGACTGCACGTGCAAACGTCGGGGCCGATCTTGGTCACCGTCGACCTTGGCCTGCGTCGATCGCGCATCGGCGGCGGCCGACATGGAGCATGACCAGGAGCGGCATCGACGAAATCCCGAAAGACACCTTGGCCATATGGTCCCCGTGCTTCCCAGACGTCAGCCGACATGATTCATACAATCTGCGACCTCAGAGGTCCCGACCCCTTCGCCAGGAGTGGCTTCCGTCCCGGATCCACGTTTGATGGTCTGCAGGCCCGATATATAACGGGCTCCGAGACCGCCGGATTGGAAAAATCTGATCCTCGGACCTCTGGGCTCGAGCATGTTTATTTAGACTCTGGCAAATTTACTTGCACGGACGGGGGGGGGCTGAACCTGAAGCAAGCCGCAAACGACTTGCACGTGCGGAGACCATGCAAGTAATAGAAGAAGAAACAACTAAATAAACACAAACTTTTGGCGCTCCGCGAGGATTTTTTGGATTCGCGCTGGACCCCCCTCCCTGGCGCGCAGAGCGCGCCAGGGGCGGCGCCGGAGGCGCCTCCAGGGGGGGCCCCAAAGCGGATCCGAAAAATCTGCGCGGAGCGCCAAAAGTTTATGTTTGTGCCGTTGTTTCTCCTTCGGAGTAACCTCGCCCGAATCCCAACAAAAACTAGTTTTTGTCCTTCGGAGTAACCTCGCCGAGATTCGAGCGATGCCGTGGCCTTGGAGGGGGCGGGGGCTATATCGGTGAGGCGGTGCGGACCTGAGCGCCCGCGGGGGCCCGGAGCCGCCGCACAGCGTGGGGGAGACCGCTCCTCGGCGGGGGTGCGCCGCGAGGGCCACGACGAGGGCGGCGAGGACGGCGGCGGCGACGAAGACGACGAGGACGAGGACGACGACGACGACGGCGACGAGGACGAGGGCGGCGAGGACGACGAGGACGAGGACGACGAGGGCGACGAGGACGAGGACGAGGACGAGGGCGACGAGGACGACGAGGACGAGGACGAAGGCGACGACGGCGGCGACGAGGACGACGGAGACGGCGAGGACGAGGCACAAGCAGAAAAAGGGGCTTAGGGAAACACAAGAAACAGACACGAAACCCAAGATTCCCCCCCTGTTCTCCCAGACATTTTCTCTGGGTCTCGTCTCCCGCCCCACTTCCCAGATTTTCCCATCTTTTTTTCCCTCGGAGTCGACGCTGCATTCTAGGTCGGGCATGTCCACCTACAGGCGGATTTTTGACGAGAAACCACAAATAGTCAAAAACTAATCCAAAATGGAGGCGCCAGACGACGACGCCGGCGCCGGCGCCGACGCCGTCGACGAGGACGACGCGGGCCACCGACAAACGAGGAGGACGACGACGGCGAAGACGACAACCCCTGAGATCCGATGTCGTGATTTTTTCAATACGGGGTCTCCCCGGAAGTCTCGACCCGTTCCCCAGGACCGGTTTTTCATCCTGAGTCGTTTTTTGACGGTCCCGAGGCCCGGCGAGGGCCTACGCTTTGATTTTTGTCAATGCGTTGGATCTCTGCGACGCCTTGATTCTTTCAAATGCCTTGGATCTCTGTGACGCCTTGATGGGGGCCGAACTTTGCGAAAAACCTCCGCCCTGATTTTTTTCAGTGCCTTGGATCTCTGGGACTCCCGGGCCGCCGACGCCCGGCGGCGCCGACGACGAGAACGGCGAGGGCGGCGGGGACGACGCGCGCCGACGGCGGCACCGCCTCCGAGGTTCTATGCAGCTCGGTCGGAGGGGGGGGCCGTGAACCCAGACGTGCTCGCGTCTCGGGCCGGGCAAAATGGGGGGATAGCAGAGGAGGGGGTTGAGAATCAGTTCGCGTGGCCGATTTTCACAGCGTCTCCCGGCGCCGGGAGGCACCCATGTATCGAGGAATGGGCCCGGCGGCGGGGCCGAAACCAGCTGCGTGCAGCTGCAGCTGCGTGCGGCGTGCTGGAGGAGGAGGAGCGACGGTGGGAGACGAAGGAGGGAAGATGAGGACTGGAACAAGAAGATCTATCAGTGAGCGACTCCCGGACTTGAACTCTTCCCATCAAACCCACGAGCTCTCTGGGCGGAGGGGGTTCAGCGCGCTTCCTTGTCCAACCGCTCCCCCTACCCCCTTTCCCCAGGTCTGGACGGAGGGGGGGCGAGCGGTCAGTGCGACCAGGATGGCCCTAGATGGGTCCAAGATGGCTGCCCAAGATAGCCTCCAGAAGGGCATAGGATAATTGAGGATTGCCTCCACTATGCTTCTAAGAGGCCTCAAGACCCCCGCAGACACGTCTCCGAGCGGCCACGGAGCCTCCCAAACGATGCCCCGGCCCCAAGAGGCCAAAATCCTTCCCACACCTGAGAGGAACCATCGTTTTGTTTGGAGAGCTCTCACCCGTTCGCGTCCAACGGGTGTCTGAGGCCTGAAGATCGCCAAAGGGTGGCCCAAGAGAGCCCCCGGAGTTGCCCAGGATGGCTCCAAGACGGTCCAAGAGGGCGTTCTAAGAGGGGTCCAAGACGACATGACGCGGGCCCAAGAGGGGCAGTGCCAACTGGGAAGCTCCCCTTTCGGTGATCGACGTCCTCCGAGGTGGCCCCCAAGGCTCCCAAGAGGAGCGCAGGAGGGCCCCGGAGGGTCCCCTAAAAACAGGGCCCCGAGGCTCCCCAAGAGGACCCCACGGATGGCCCCGAGAGATGGCTGAAGGAGGCTTCCAGAAAGAAAGCTTCGCGAATGCCCTCATGGTTGACTCCTGTCGTCGTGGTCGGCGGGGTCGTAGCGTCGCGTTTCTCCTCCCTCCTCCTCCTACTCCTCCTCCTCCTCCTCCTCCTCCTCCTCCTCCTCCTCTTCACCTTTCTCCTCCTCCTCCTCCTCCTCCTCCTCCTCATTCTTCCCGTTCTCGTGTTCATCTTTTCTCTCTCTCTCTCTCTCTCTCTCCCTCTCTCTCTACCTCTCCCTCTCACTCGCAAACCTCCTCTCTTCCTCCTCTCTCCCACTCGCAAACATAAACTCTCTCCCATTCCCGTGCTTTCCTCTCTTCCTCCTACTCCTCCAAATCCTCCTCCTCCAAATCCTCCTCCTCCTCCTCCTCCTCCTCCTCCTCCTCCTCCTCCTCCTCCTCCTCCTCTCCTTGGGGAACAAACCATGACATTGGCAAAACAAAAACTCGGAGGTCCGCGCGGATTCCACGGATCGGCGCTGGACCCCCCCTCCCTGGCGCGCGGAGCGCGCGAGGAGCGGCGGCGTCGGAGGCGCCGCCAGGGGCCCCCAGCGCCGATGCGAGAAATCTGCGCGGACCTCCGAGGTTTTATGCTTGTGCCAGTGTTAGCTCCCTGGTCGTGCCTCGCGTTCTTTTGCCTCTGTGCCTCACTTCGCTCCCCACCTGGCGCCCGCTGGCTTACAAAGTTTCCCTATCTCAGAGCCCTCCCCAGACCCCCGATGACACGGCTTTTTCGCATAACGTGGACCCCCAAAGGTCTCCACCCACTCCCTGGGACCTGCTTTCCGTCCTGGGCCCCCTCCTGACGGCCCCGAGGCCCGGCAATGGCCCCCGGAAGCCGACGATGCCGGAAAGCTTCCCGCCGTGATTTTGCTTGCTCATGGCCCGCGAGGCTCTGGGATCGATCGATGATGCTCAGAACGTGTGTTAGCTCCAACGCGTGTTTGTCCATCGAGGCCCTTCGATACGACGCAGGCGATGTAATGCTCTACCGGCTGGGCTAAACGGGATAAGCGCACATTGGGCAAACACACGTCCTGAGGATGCACGGTTTCCCCCGGGGCCGTAGGCGACCCGAGGAGGGAAGGGCGAGGAGGAGGAGGAGGAGGAGGAGGAGGAGGAGGAGGAGGAGGAGGGGTCTCCTAAGCCCTTCGGAGAAACCCTCCACCGGAGCATCGCCGGGCCCAGGGCGCGAGGGCGGCCCCCTCCCCGCGCGCAGCCCCCCCCCCCCCGGCGGGGCTCCGATGCTGCTGGCGCGCCGCGGGAGCCCGTGGCTCCTCGCCGCGGAGTCCGCGCGCGGGGCGAGGCCCACGTGCAGCCGGCCCGCGTTCCCGAGGGCGCCCTGC